ATATATATCTGTATATATATTTCATTTATCACAGAGGGATAAATGAAGGAGATAAATGGTATCAAATGTTAGATAGGAGGCATGATACCTCTGTTTCAATTTTGTCTTTATCATACACTTGCATTGTGTTCTTGGGACAAGCTACTTTATCTCCTTGAACCTCTGTTTTATTATTTGAAAACTAGGAATGTTAATGATACCCATATTATATGGTCATTGGATAAGACCATTTGATAATCACAAAGCACTATACAAGCTTTAGGGGTTTTGGCAACATGCCACTTATTTGGAATTAATTTTATTTACAACATACTATATCTCAGAATTGAGAAGTAAAGTTAAAAAGTCTGTGAATAATCAAAAGTATGTATTACATATTCTCTGTGTAAAAATCCATACATTTCATTAATAGACTCTCAATCAGAATCAATTTTTTTAGAATTAATTTTTTATTTCATACCTGGTTTTACCAAGCTTTGGTATCTATGAAACTGGATCATCGAACAAGCTAGATTTGATAGAGTACAAAGCAAGAGATAACCTCATTCTTTCTCACCATTGCCTTTTAAAAGGGCTATGTTGACTTTCCTATCTCTTTTACTGGACAATATCTTGGTAATATCACATAGCTTTTTTTCAGTCACTTTTAGATATTAACAGTTTTTTTAGGTACCAAAAATCCTAGTCTAAACTAAATATAATCTGTTAATTTAAAAATTCTCCCCATTTTCCTGATTTGGCTCTAGTCTGGCTCTAGAACCTATTGGGGTTCAGGAGACTTATTTGGTTCTTCTGTACTCTTCTACTCCCCCTCTTCTAATCACTAGGCAGCTTTAGGGTGGGGTTATATAAGGTCAGGAAAGGCCTTACTCAGCTAGGGCACTGGTAATCTGGCCTTGGTGCTTCCTAGGTGTAGTAGATGCCCAGTGTTGGCTCTTGTTGGCTGCTTTAGTCTTTGCTTTTTAGAGCCTCTCCTTACTGGGGACTTTCCACTGTACCTTTTATTGATCGGAAAGTATTGCTTTAGCTGGCTGCTTATGACTCCCCTTCAGCTAAATTAGCAGTGTGTCCCACACACCTTCTGATGGTATGTACCCACTAAGACCATCTCAGGTGGGGTCATCTGTTCTTGTATGCAGACCTCTCTGAGAGGGCCTATTCAAGGCAACTCCAGCCTACCTACCTTCCAAGGGTAACTTCCTTTACCCTTGAGGAACGTGCAGTCTTGTGGAAGTAGAATTTGCTCCTACTTTAACTCTCTTTCCTCACCCTGGTTTTTCACCTTTAAACTTTCCAGGCAAATACCAGGCATTGGTCTCTTTGTTCTCTAAATTCTAAGACATCCACGTCCAGCTGTTCTCTTAAAATTTTTGTTGTCGGACTTTGAGGAGAGGAGTTAAATAAAAATCTAGAAAATAAGATATGGTGGTAAATTTATTTTCTGCCCACAAAAGAAAAATAATCTGATGGATTAATTAAGAACTCAAATTGACTGTCTTCTTCCCCTGGAAGTTCAAGCATTGGGTATATATACGGTTTAAATAAAAAAATGAATTTTAGTCATGCTAATTTGGGATTGAGATACTGTGTTTGGTCATTGGCTGAGCCTACGTGTAAACTTCAAGATCCCAATTTGTCATTCTTGTTGAATTATTTTCAAAGTTAGAGTATGTTAGAGTAAATATGTACCTCTAAATGTCCAGTTTTATATTTGTCTCATTTGATTGGTCATAGAGCAGTATAATTTGCATTAGGAATTTTATCCTTTGTGTACATGCAACTGCACCTTTTGTTTTCTCTGTTCATGTCACAGTTTTCTTTGGTCATGGCAAATTTTCACCATTAACTGGAGAATACTATGGGTTAAAAGAAATTTATTCTCTCACAGTTCTGGAGGCCAGAGTCTGAAGGTATCAACGGGGGTCATTTGTTTTGGAGGCTCTAAGGGAGATTCCATTCCATGCCTCTTTCCTTGCTTCTGGTGGCTGTCAGCAATTTTTGGCACTCCTTGGTTTGTAGACAAATCACTCCAATCTCTGCCTCCATCTTCACATGGGATGTGATATTTAGTCATTATCCAAAATATAAAGTTTAATCTATAAACATGAATTAAAAATTATAAATGTGTAATTTTAGGTTGTTAAACTTTTAGAAAATCAGAGATGAAAATAGTAATATGATGTAAGAAAAAATGACTTTTTAAAGTCTTTGACTCGAAATTTCTTTTTTCTGTAGCTGTTGGAAAAATTAGAGGAAAGCCTCTTCCATTACTCCTATTTTTTGAGGCCCTCTTTAGCACAAGTCATGCTTTTAGACATCCTGTTGATGCAGATCTAACCCTGGAAGGAATCAAATGTGGGTTATCTGAAAAACGGTTAGATTTAGTTATCAATTGGGTTACCCAGGAGAGGTAAGCAAAGTTAAGCTTTTAACTTAATTTTGAAATTTGGTTATAAAGTTGTTTATTCTCAAAATTTTAAGTTTTCTTTTCTGTACGTTATTTGAACATTTACTCCAGGTCCTTATCACAGTTAATCAGTTTTTGTTGTAGGAAATATCTTCTTCATATGAATATCATTCTTTTCTCTTTGCCCTCTTCTTTCTCTGCCTGGTCACATTTCTACATCCTCCATGAAAAGTACTCGTTAGGGAGCACTGGAAATGGTTCGGACTGTATATCATCAGAAAGTGCATGTTCTTTATCAGCACCTGTTATCTAGTACAAAAATACTGCAGACGAGATTAATTTCCAGGTACACATAGTGATGATTCTTGACCCAATCTACTTGTTAGTTGTAAGAATTTAAATTCTTATGCAGTTCTTCGACTGTATATATTGAGAAAATGCCACCACTTTTAAGCATCCTGAGATCATATTACAGGGAATACTAGAGGCAGTTCACATTCTTTATTCTTAGCCACTGTCTTCTGGTTTCTGCCTCTGATGGCCTGGCCTCTACCACATGGCTACCTTAAAAAGTTTTCTAATCCTTTCCCCAGAAGCTCAGCATAGAGGCAGCCCTAAAGCAGCCTGGGTTATACACTAACCTTGGCTCTCTTAATTATTCTTACCTAAGAAAATCTAATCACTTGGTCCACAAAGCCTAAATTTAAGAAACCATGCTTTACTGGTATTACCTCTCTACATTGCAGACATTGCTCCTAGAATAGTATAAATATCCTCTGAAATGTTAACTTTGCAAACCCAGCCCTATAAAATAACAGTAAATAAATACTATGCATGGATGTAGTGATTGTATATTACCTTTCTTTTAACATTAAAAATCTAAAATCTGATTTATAATCAAATATGCTTTAGTTTACCATGGAGTTAAGCATATTTTCTTTTATTTATTAGTTATTCATATGCTCCAGAGCTAGCCTGCTCTGAGATCCACTTTCAGAAGTTACTGAGAGTCCTCTTGGAGTTGGGCATGAGGATGGGGAGAGCCAACAAGGGGACTTAAGGAAAACAGAAAGAGGGTATGATTAGGTGACTGGAGGAGAGAAGGGGGAGGGAGGTTCTTTGGCCCATCTCCCAGCCCTAGCCTTCTTTCAGGTGGAACAGCATTATGGTGATGATCCTCAAAAATAAATAAATAAATAAATAAACTAATAGTATCATTAAGAGAAATAAATACTAAAATATGTATTATCATTTTCCTCTGGTATTGCAGTCACTACATAGACTAAAACATAATTACTTGTTGAACCTCAGGAAATGTTGTGACTGTAGCTACTAAAACCTATGTTTTAGTATTAAAGCGTGGAAGTCAGGGAATTGCTTAACTAAACAATTGATTTGTACTCAAGCTGCCTTCTGATTTTAGACCCACCTGTCTCCTGCCCGCCCCAATAAGCCCAGAAGGCTTCACTTACTGAATTTTCAGTAAAGAGACATTTTGTAGGGGTTTCAGGATTTCATTTTAATGTCATCAGCATTTTATTAGATGTATACAGACACCGGTATTAGATGATTGCTGTTATTTTGTACCTATCAATTTAAAATATAATTAAAGCACAATTTTCATACAAGCAGTAATTAGCAGTGATGTATTTGATCATACCCAAGTGTTCTTTTGGCTTATGCTGATAGTTTCCAGGTGGAGTTACCGTAATAATACATCAGGTGGGTGATTTCAATTGTGTATGAAGGTTGTGCATTAAAATATGATGACAAGTGAAATCTATTCAGTTGAGCCATCTCAAAAGAACTGCTTCTTCAGTCTCTCCTAATAGGCACAATTATGTCCACTTTCCCCCTGTTGCTTCTTATAAATCTATAACAAATTTTAAAAATAACAGTGCTGTCACACTTTCCTGTTTTCCTTTTAGTACAAATGCTTGCAAGATGTCACTAATTATGAGCTGAACTTGCTGTCACTATATTTAACCAACATTTAATAAGTTTTTACATTCTACAGGGTTTAGAATCTAGATAATGGCTGAAAACATTGAGATCCCCAATTATAAAAAGATTTTTGTTTCCCTTGTAATTTTAAATCCTATCAGTCTTTTTAGGAGAGTTTTAATCTTGTGTGTAGATTTTTTAAAAACTCGAGCTCAGCTTTGCCAAAATATCTTCCTCTAAAAGAATACGTGCTGATTGTTTTTTTCTTGTTGTTATTAAATCTCAGATATGTTTAATTTCTCCTACATCATCAATTGCCTATTTACTTGCAACTCTTACAGACCATAGAAAATCCAGTTCTACTGGGCTGAATTTTCAAATATTTCAGCCACTCATCAAGAATTTTCTAACTAGTGCTTTATTGATCTGCTTGCTCTAGGTTGACGTTTTCTGAGGAGGCTGGGGATGTGATTTGTGATTATGGGGAGCAGGATACTTTTAACAGGGCCAAGTGCCTGGCTTTAGCTCAAATTATCTACAGTGAATGTGGCCTGCACAAGAAAGCTTTTCTTTGCCTGTGTAAACAGGGTCAGATTCATGGGGCTATGGAATACATACAGCAATTCAAGGACTTTACTTTTGGTAAGTAGAAAAGCCTGCTTATTTGTATACATTCAAATTCTGGAGTTTAATGCTAAGATCACCCATAATAGCAGGCAACATTTTAAACTTATGTTATAAAATCCAATTTCTTTTGTAATTTTTCATGAAAATAGTTAAGCTGGAGTTGATTGGCTTTCATGCTAGACATTCAAATACATTATGTATTTCCTTAAAATATAAACATTTGGTAAACTAGACAGTCCTGGAAAGAAGATAAATTTATTAGATATGCTGGACTATGCTACATAAAGGATTTTAAAAAAATAACTGAACTTGTCATCTATAAAGTTCTGAACTGTAACATAAGCATTGGAAATGAAGAATTAGTGAAGTAATGTTCATTTCAAAATTTTGAAACACCTAGCTTACAATTGGGCAGTGATCTGAGAGAACTAGTGGACCTTAGGGCGACCTTGATTGAATGAGCAGATCTCTTACTGTGAATCTAGTCGGGCAGTAACCTTCATGTACAGGCATTGCTGACGTCTCCCCATCTCCCGGGCCATTGCCAATCCCCATGTGCAGACTATGTATCCCAGTTCTAAGAAGATGCAAAATGGAACCAAACATAGCAATTCCCGGTCATATATTTTTAGGAGAAAGGATCCTTTATGGCTGTTGAATCTGATCATTTTCAAATAATAAATTGACTTTTTGTTAGAATCTGTGTAGTTTTAAAAGTTACTAATTTCTTCATTCATTAATAACAGCATGCCTGATACTGTTATTGTAATAATAGCTAATAGCTAGGCTTTTTATGTGTACTATTATCACTTAATCCTTATGTTGACTCTATGAAGTAGGTTTTGTTATTATCCTTATTTTATAGATTTAAAAAACTGTATTTCTACGGAGAGGCTAAGGCACAGAGAGGTAAATGTTTTGCCTTTGGTTACACAGCAACAGAACAGAATCTGCTATAGCAGGTACTACTCAATATTTGAGTGAATTATGTATTTTATTAAGTGTACAGATTCAGTTTCTGTGTTAAGTATTATTTTTCCATATGTAAGAATGATATTAGTTAGTGTTTAGACATGGAATATAGGTTTTAATTACTTGTTGAATTTTTTTTTAAATGGCGTCTCACTGTGTTGGCCAAGCTGCAATGCAGTGGCTATTCACAGATGCTATCCTTGTGCCCTCCAGTCTCAAACTCTAGGCTCAAGTGATCCTCCCATCTCAGTCTCCCAAGTAGCTAGGATTATAGGCACGTGTGCCAAACATATCCAGCTTATTCTTGTAATTTTTAGTGAATGAAATGTGACATTTCCTTTTTTTATTGTGAAATTTACCTCACATAAGTGCATAGAAACATAATTTATTCACTATCATATTATTCTGTTCCTCTCATAGTGTTTTATACTTTAAAATAATTAAATACATAATTGTAATAATTTAAGAAGTAACCTATATGTTTGGAACCTTGATACTTATCCTCAGAATTTATTTAGCACAATGTCATAAAGTGAAAATGAAAGTAACCTGAGAAAAATTAATCTTAAAAGGTAGAAACAATGCTTGAAAAATCACTTCGCTTATTTTACTTTTTAATGAGAAACGACTGCAGCTTCCCAAGGTATCCTCTTCCCCCTTAAGAGACAGATTCCGTTTGTTAATACTTTCCAGTTTCAGAAAGAAATGTTCTCTCTTAGATTTAGACTATCAGTTTTACATTTACAAATTAAAAAAGTAAAACCAAAACAAACAAAACAAAACAAAGAACAATCCTAAACAAGTTGTTTGTTCCAAAAGCATAAATCTGACTTGTTTTAGCATGATTGTTTTTGCTTCCCCCACTAATAATTTCTAGAATAAAGCATGAGATGACTTGCTTCCTCATCTTCCCCATTATCATTAAGCAAGTGAATATATAATACCAAACACCTATCAGGAAACCAGGTTGTTCTAGGTCAGAGGCTCTCAAACTTTTGGTCTCAGGTCGCCCTTACACTCTTAAAAAGCACTAGGGATCCCAAAGGACATTTATTTATGTATGTGGTTATATATATTGATATTTGTCCTACTAGAAATTAAAACGAAATTCAAAAATATTTATTTATTTATTTTACATAATAATAAACCCATTAAATATTATTATAAATAAAATATTTTATAAAAATAACTATGTTTTCTAAAACTAAACAATTTGATGAACAGAGTGACTTTTTTCTTACATTTCTACAAGTCTCTGGTAATGCCTGGCTTAATTGAGGATAAATGGCTTCTCATATGTGCTTCTATATTCAGTGTGTTGTAATATACATATCTTGTAGCCTCTAGAAAATACCACTATATATTTGAGAGTGAAAAAGGCAAATAACAACTTAATATTTTTATGAAAATAGTTTTGACTTTATAGACCGTAGACTGTATTTTAAGAACCGCTGTTCTAGATATTTGTGAGTTAAACAGATACCATACTTGGTATGTAGGCCCTTACAATTTTATTAAAACAGAACATATGGCCGGGCGCGGTGGCTCACGCCTGTAATCCTAGCACTCTGGGACGCTGAGGCGTGTGGATCGTTTGAGCTCAGTAGTTAGAGACCAGCCTGAGCAAGAGTGAGACCCCGTCTCTACTAAAAATAGAAAGAAATTGGCTGGACAACTAAAAATATATAGAAAAAAATTAGCTGGGCATGGTGGCACATGCCTGTAGTCCCAGCTACTTGGGAGGCTGAGGCAGAAGAATTGCTTGAGCCCAGGAGTTTGAGGTTGCTGTTAGCTAGGATAATGCCACGGCACTCTAGCCCGGGCAACACAGTGAGACTCTGTCTCAAAAAAAAAAAAAAGAGAGCGTATGAGAGAAAATAATGATTAATAACCTTCAAGGCAAGGAACAAGAGAATGGATTCTGAAGTGTGGTAAGCAGAGGGGAAGAGTTGCATAATATTTGAATTTGTGTCCTTTCTAATTAGTCAGAGACCATATCTTGTACATAATTGAGTTAATATTGGTTAATTCATCAATTTATGGAGAATGAAGTTTGAATACTTGATTGAATGAAATAAAGAGAGAGGTGGGTAAGTTATGAAATGTTAGAGGCTTGGTGGTAGGGAGGTACTGTATAAATGAGTTTCACCTTAGTAGAGGCCAGTTTGAGTGAACCAAATCATAAACTTCTACCTTTTTTCTAGGGAAATATTTTGTTGTTTGTTTTTTAATATGACTTCATTGATATAAAATTATATTCCTCTATTCCTTGTTTCTTCTCTTACCATTTTCTTCTCTCTGTATGTATGTGTATGCATGAGTATATATATTAAGTACATACACATGCAAACATATACACATCATATATATGCTACATACACACATATAATACATACACACGTCATATATATATAATTTTGGAGGAGCAGCACTGTAGACTGGGAAGGTCGTGGGCTTTGGGGGTCAGATAGACTGTTTTAGGCCGGGCGCGGTGGCTCACGCCTATAATCCTAGCACTCTGGGAAGCTGAGGCAGGTGGATCGCTCAAGGTCAGGAGTTCGACACCAGCCTAAGCAAGAGCAAGACCCCGTCTCTACTAAAATTAGAAAGAAATTAATTGGACAACTAAAAATATATAGAAAAAATTAGCCGGGCATGGTGGCACATGCCTATAGTCCCAGCTACTCGGGAGGCTGAGGCAGAAGGATCGCTTGAGCCCAGGAGTGTGAGGTTACTGTGAGCTAGGTGGACGCCACGGCACTCTCTAGCCAGGGCAAAAGAGTGAGACTCTGTCTCAAAAAAAAAAAAAAAAAAAAGATAGACTGTTCTCCTTTATACCATGTACATAATTCAGGGAAAATTAACTTCTCTAAGCCTGTTTCTTCATTTGTAATATGAGAATAATAATATCTCACTAACTCTGAATATTAAATACAGTGAATTAATATATATAATTTCCCAGCACAATACGTACATATTTAATAAGTAAACATTCGATTATCTTTTATTGCCTCTCAGAGTTCAAATCATGTTTATGGTAGTTCTTGAAAGATTCTCAGAAATTATTCTGAAAATTACCTCTATCGTGGTCCAAGAATAATATTTTTACTTTAAAAAATTTAGGAAGCTAGCTGGGCATAGTGGCACATGCCTGTAGTCCCAGCGACTGAGGAGACTGAGACAGGAGGATCACTTACAGGCAGGAATTCGAGGCCGTGGTGCGTTATGATTAGTCCTGTGAATAGCCAGTGCACTCCAGCCTGGGCATCATAGTGAGACTCTGTCTCTAAAAAATTTAACAATACAAATCATAACTGTAACTTTAAATTGCCTCAATGGTTAACTAGTAGATTAAACTGTAGATAAAATCGCTCTTTTGGGGGTCAAATGTAGGCAACTTCATATGGTTCAATCTTAAACTACTTGAAATAGCTAATGACCTCTTAAAATCTTCATTTTTGGATTTCTAAATACTTGATATTTTTAGGAAAAAAATTATTGAACTCCTTTTTCTGTGCAAGGGACAGAATGAAAGATATTTTACTCACTAGAATTTGGTACAAATATAAACAATAAGACATAGATAGACAAACGTAATGTAGTATTAGATGGAACCTTAGAAATTATCTCCAATTCTAGCACTTTTCAGATGTGAAAACTGAGTTCCAAAAGATTAAGTGAATTAGAATTCAGGTTTCCTGATTGCCAATCTATATTCTTTTTATTATACCACACTTCTCTTCATTATAGTTATTTGAAAAGTTTTTGATACTCTTTGTTATAGATTGTTTTCCTTTGTCTTTTGCTATGCTGAGTGTGATTATTTTTACTGGAGATAGCACTCTTGAGTTTGGTTTGGAGTGGGCCATTGAGGGCTGCAGAAGGAATGGAAGAAGAAGTAATTGATTGGCAAGTATAGATATTAGCTACTCCCAATTTCAAGTTGATTTATTGTATTAGGATGTTGAGATATAGTTTTTCATTTTTGCTTTCAGATGATCTGATGCAACTAATAACATTGTGTCCCCAAACTGAATTAATTCAATGTTTCACTAAAGAATGGAATGGGAAACCACCATCTTTATCTTTTGGTCTGGCCATCCTTCATCTGTTCTCTGTAGATATGAAAAACGTTGGCATTAAGCTACTTCAAGAAATAAATAAAGAAGGGAAAGGTAAGTAAAATGTTGTTGTGGAAGAAATAGTAGTGGATTATTTAGAGAAAGGTTCAAGATGATTATGTATAAGTTATATCAAATTTCCCTTCGAGTTCCTTCTTAGCAGGAGTTAATTTTAGTTTATAAATGTATATATTACCATGTCAATAGTAGTCTGTTGGTAATAATATATATTTCTTGAGGGAATTAGAATGAAGAGATAATCTTTGTGAAGCCTGAAAAGAATGTCATAATAATTATAATAGCTAATACTATTCCAAAAACTTTATATATATTGACACGTATTTATATTTGACAATCTTTTAATATGTATTTTAAATGTTATTTAGATATAAACTTTATATACTTTAATTCCTAAACCAAATATATGCATATTTACATATTCACTCTGAACCTAACTCTGCAGAATTTAGAATAACTAATTAAATCTCACTTTTGTTTTCTTTTAATTAATTTAATATAGGAACTTGAGCAGGCAACTTGATTTTAAATTATTATCTGAGGTCAAGGAAAGAATGTAAATTACCTGAAAACATATTTGGAAAGATAATGTTATATTTTGAAATTATCATTACAGATATCAACATAAATATTTTATAGGAAAATAATTGTAGTACAAATAAAATAATAGTGATGACAGTATGCTAAAAAGAGATCCTCTTTCATGAAGTACTATAAGTAATGCAGATGATAGATAAGAAATGAGTTCTATAAATTCATAGATCCCAAAAGGAATCACTATAATTGATTTTCAAAAGTAAATATTATTAGATTTATTTAATAAACAAAATGATTTTATTTCTTTTAGAAAAATTATCATAGAAGCCCTGTCATTATGAGGTCTCCATCTAGAGATAGGATAAAGGGTTTGTCAAAGATTTTCCTAAACCCTTTGGTTAACACTACTAAACATTTGAGGGATCATGAAAACTTGACCTATAGGTCCTCAGTTATTTGATAGTTTCTAGTGATATCTTATAGACTCTGTGAATAAGGATGAGCCCACATTCTTCATTTTCTGAGCTCCCTGTCTTGTAGCCTTCAACATCTGCTACCTTAACAAGGAGGAGATGAGTGGAGGAGTGTGGATAAGTGCAGAATATGAGAACTGGGAGAGGGTTCAAGTGAGACACAAAGAAGTTAATGATACAGGAGGAGGAGAAGGAACTAACACTTGAGTACCAACCAGGAGCTAGACCGAGCACTCCACATGTTATATCACTGAACTATGGGAATCAGATGGAGTTTAACAGTAAATGAGTCGAAATTATGTCCTTTTCTATTTTTGAAGAATTGCTAAGTGTGGATTATTAAATAAGAATAAGTACCATACTATAATATTGTATTTTTTTCCCCTCAGATGCAGTAAAACATCTTGTGCTAAATGATCCATTTTGCTCCCTAGAAAAGTGGCAAGAAATGGCAGATATATGTTTACAGAATGGCTTTGACAAATTATCTAACAACATTATGTCCATTCTTCGATCTCAGGCTGAAGTTATAGAAATTTCTGAAGAAGATGATACAATCAACTTAATGGAACATGTTTTTTGGTAGTTCTATATCTTAACCAGTTGAGGGAGCTTGTACGACATTTTATGTATGTTGGTTGGGCAAACTGGTTTTGGGATAACTAACGAATAAATCTAGAATATGAAGCTCTCAGAAATAAATCACACTTATTTTGTTATGATGACATTTAGATTTGTCCTTGAAACATTTATACCATTGCTTCCTTTTCCGCATTTGGTCATTTCTTATATTGAATCTTGATAAAATTGAAGATTATAACTTTGTGCCAAACGGTGTAGGCATTTTTATCTAAGGGCATAAGTTGATGTCCAGATATATTCTTTGGTGATCTGATTTGATAGCAAGAACTGAGGAAGGTGTGGGTAGTGTCCTGTTTGTTAGACTGTCTTCCCAAATATCAAATGCTACACGTCTGACTTGACAAGAAAAGCAGGATGTCATTTCAAGGTTGGACTCTCTGGCAAAAACCTAGAGTATAGTAATTTTGTACTAATTTAAAGGAATTTAAAGATGTGCCTGATGCTTTGATATATATAAATATAGCAAAGATTAGTTTTCTATTATAAAAATTGGGAGTCTTGACATGTTCTTACTTAGAAAGAGGAACAGGCAAATTTTGCATAGAAGTAGACCTGGGATACCTGTAGGCGTAGGAAATGTGTCATAAGAAATGGTTTTGGGCCGGGCGAGGTGGCTCACGCCTGTAATCCTAGCACTCTGGAAGGCCGAGGCGGGCAGATTGTTTGAGCTCAGGAGTTCGAAACCAGCCTGAGCAAGAGCGAAGCCCCGTCTCTACTAAAAATAGAAAGAAATTAATTGGACGACTAAAAATATATAGAAAAAATTAGCTGAGCATGGTGGCGCATGCCTGTAATCCCAGCTACTCAGGAGGCTGAGGCAGTAGGATCGCTTG